AATAGAACTTATATACTACACCGCAGTATCAGTATTAGAGACTAGAGTGTATAGGTACATTAGATATGCCGATATAGGTAACCATTTAATTATATAAAATATAATTACCATTAAATTACAAATTTTAACAGATATCTTATATAGTTTGACATAGTAATAACTAATTTTAAAATTTCTATTAATTTTCAAAATGTATGTATTACGCGGCATTAGGTACTTAATAATATTATTCTTTTATAAACGTTCTTAACGACTTACCTTATACTTACCTACCTGGCTACCTATACATACACTACAGAATACATTGAGAATAACTTGTAAAAATGATAACCTATACATAATACATTAATATTATATGGTTACCATTTGTGACTCAACATTGTGTTGCATTGCGTGACTGAATACCTTTTATATTAATAATATATTATTAATAATTAATATTAAAGATAATTCCCATTAATGGGAAATCAAATCCGCATTCTTAGATAAATACATTTTACAACTAATTATAGCCTATACGTACCTAAGACAAATTAAACAAACATATTTTATGTATTTAAAATATCTTTCATTAATCCTCTTTAAATAAAAGACAAGTTTGACGTCCCTAATTTAATTTGTCATATTAAATTTTTTCCTTCAGTCTAGCTGATGTCTTACGTATCTAATTAGTTGGTAATCAATATCATCATTTTCAATAATTTATAATCACATTATTTTATTAAGTATTTATAAAATCATATTAAGACAAGACGGTTAAAACTCAGGGTTCGTGCCCGGTCATTAAAAATGTTGCTCTCGTAGAACGAATTCACCACTTTAAAAACTCTATCACAAAGGCCTCAGCAGTCAGCATTAAAACAATTGAGGAAGAAGCATCAATCTTATAAACGTTTCTTTATTTAATACAATTAAAAGACCACTAAAATCCATCAACAGATATTAAATAGCTTACACAACCTTTCAATTTCTGGAAATCCTCGTCTTATACTTAAAATTAAAATAGTGTCTTGGTTTTTTAACTTAGGTAATCATCTAACGCAGGTTATTTATAAGACAACATCTTTAGAGGAATATTAATTTTCGATCGTATTAAAAATGAATTAAACCAATATCGGTTGATCTTGTAATCTCAAACATGTTTTAACGTGTTATATGCAAAGTAAATAGTATTTACTATTTACCTTTATAAGAGAAGAAAAAGAACACAATTTTCCAATTGAGAAATAACAAAAGAAGAATATTATTATAAAAATGTATTGTTATTAAGCTGCCTGCAATAAAATATAAATAATATTAATATATACCCAAAAAAAAAAACAGTGACCTGCATTCACCAGATATTTAAAATTTTTAGAGTAGCTCACTTGTTGGAAAAAGTTAGCAACCTTCTCTAGCTTAGGTACCTTTCAATTTCGAGCTAAGTATCTCTAATGGGTGGCTTCTACCGGTGTAACCCCAATAATGTTATTATTTTTATATTTATCCCCTACCCAACATAGGTATACTTATGGAACTTAGTAGGTATGTAGTTTGTACATTTTTTATTAAAATAAAAATGTATTTTTACTCGCGTCAAAATGAACATTGCAGTGCATATAATAACTAATATTTATTCAATAATATATATTGTAGGTATTTAAAATATACACTTTAAAAAAATCAAATTACTGAAGTTATTGTGCTACTTGGTAAGTATGTAGGTGCCTTTTTCAATTTGAAATTATACCTACTGAATACTGACCTAATGATGAATTAAAAATGTTTTTATTATATGAATATAGATTTAATTTTTGATGTAGGTACCTATACTCGATAATAATGTAGACTATTCATCGCTCTACTCAAGATCTAAAATAAATTATACTATAATGTCCTTATCTACGATTAAAATTATGTTTTCAATTCTCAGTTCTTTAGTTTTAATTATATACAATTAAAGTACAATCATTGTGTAATTTTGTAATTATATTAAATAGCAATGTATTTATCAAAATCGACAATATTATCTTCAATGATTTCTAAGGTGTAGTTCAACAGCGTCCTTTATGAAATATTTGTACAAGTGCTGAGGTACATGTGGCATATTATATAATATGTATATATGCATACATGTATGTAGGTACCTATGTATGTGTATATGTATATGTATAAAAATTACAAGGACATCAGTGGCGGAAATAAATTTGGTTTAAGAGTTTATAAATGAAGTCAGGGATTTTTGCTTAAAAAAATAGGTTTCAATTATTGAAGAATTTGTGACAAATATAATATTATTGTGATTGATTAGATTTTTTAAGGAAATTAAATTCGAATGTACCTTCTTACTACTTACATACTTTGATGATTTTGCTGTTGAAATAATGATACATTAAGACATCATTTTTTTTTGTTTATTTTTTTTATATCATATGGACTTATTTAAATTTTTATAGAAGAGAAACAGAGCGCGAAGCGAGACGAGTGCCAGCCTGCACTATGCCCTCTCCCGGTCTTTGTATCAATAATATCATGCAACTACGTTTGATTATTACCTACCGTGTAAACATGCATCTACTATTCTACTATAATATTTATTAATGCTATGTTTTTAATTCAGGTTAGGTAATAATAACAATAGGTATGTCGTATGTGTACAATGCATATATATTTATATGTTACAGATTACGGAAAGGAACTGATTATGTCTTAATGATGTTTCCAATTTAGTTTTTTTTTTTTTTTTGGGTTTTATAATTATTATTATGTTTTAACAAAATTGTGTGTTTACGTAAATGTATGTATAGTGTCATATAGTTGGGGTAATAAGTTACGGGATTTTAATAAATAAAAACTGGTTTTAACTTCTATGAACTATTTCATTATTTCAATGTATTTTTTTTCAAATAAAAAACATTAAAAAGAGGGAAAGTGGGTATAATATACACCTAAACCCACTCTGTTGTACAATAGGTGTCTACTTAAAGTTTAAAAACATTTAGAAAGTTATATCATCTGTAGTAAATGATAATATAACCATTTGATGAAAATTGAATATTTACGGTTATTCGTTTTCGAATAACAATAAAATAAGAACATCGTTTGACGATAAATAGTTTTTTAACGAGTGAATAATCAATTTTGTCAAAATTTAAAATTCAGAAGCTCATAAAAATGTAAAATAGGTCTAGTTGTAGAATTAACCTCAATTGTCTTACATTCCAACTAAAGCAACTAATACCAAAAATTATTTTTATCGACATTTAGATAGGTATAAAAAAAGAACAAGACAATTTTCAAATGTCCACACCTATACCTAGCGATATAGCTAAAAAAGTGTCAAAATATCTAAAAATTGTATTATGCATACGAAATGCTAATATAAACATTTTAAGTACCATCGTTTGTTCGTTTTTTATTTAGGTACACCAATAAAACAATATAGGTAGAAATTGATTTGGCGAAAAAATTTCAGTTTTTCTTATTTTTAAAAAAAAATGTTGTCCTCATAAGACTACCAACTAGTTCAATTTTTCTACCAAAAACCACTCCTATGGCTCTATAGTAGGTATACATATTATATAGGCTGTAAGTCTGTAGTAGTAGTACCTAGATATCAAATATTAAATAGTTATGTAGGTACCAACGTACCATTACCAATTAATAATTATAGATATAGATTTAACAGCTTATTATTATTATAAAGACTGTTGAAAGCGAACCATTTTTAAGGGGCCGGATTTAGGCAATATTCTTTATCTTTCCGATTGCTGTGTAGGTAGTGATTAATCATTAGTATGCATGAGTTTGGCTAACGCTTTATTTAATTAAAGATGAACTGCCACTAAGATTCTTAGAAATCCATAACATAGGTGCATACGTTCAGCCAGACTTTACTATTTTTTGTGATCAAAAAAGTTTCAATTCTTTCGGCTATGGAAGTTCCAAAAAGCGAAAATAAAATTCACCCAGTACCGAAAGCCTGATTTTAATTGTGAAAACAGATTTTAAATCCTCATTCTCTTTTCTAAGTTTTGAAAGAAATGGATTTTCGATTTGTTATATTTTAATACATTTTATTCATTAATTCATCCCAATGCACTAAAAAGCGACCCACTTTTAACTCTTAATAAATGTATAATGTATACTATAACTACAATACAACATAGTACCAATTAGTTACTTCATTTTCAAAATAAGCATTAATTATTGTTTAATTATCCAAGTATAATTTATGTATTATTGTAATTTGTAAATTTATATTAGAGTCAGAGATCATAGTGACGTAACAATATGATTAGGTATGTGTGAATTTAATACTTGCTCATATTATAGTCATATCCTATAACCATATCTCTCCACATTCATATATTTAAATTCCTAATTTTATCTCTCATATTATGTTTTTAATTTTAAATCTGGTTATTGTAGTGATGAATAACAAGAAAATTGTTGGATGCCTAAATATATAGCTAATTATAAGTCACTAGGGACTTATAATATTTTCAATAAAAAATAAACAAACTTTTATCTATTACATTTATGTTGTATGTAATATGTATTACCTAATCAATTCATGAATAACTCCATAAGACTATTATATATCCATATGATATCCATAAGACTCCATAATCAGGTTCTTAAGTAGGTACCAAGTATTATTTTTTACATAGATATTCATCAAAATCAGACAATTCTATCTAACATAATCCATATTGAGTTAAATAGCTCTCAAATTATGTACTTAAATTGTAATGAAATTAAAGGTTTTTAAAACATAACTATATTATGTGATAACGTTGAAAATGAATATAACATTTTTTTTTAAATTAATACTTGAAGTTGCCACTCACTATTTAACATGTGACAACTGTAATCATAATTTCCTTTCCCTAAATCTAAAACTAGGTACACAGTAAAGATAGAGTATTTAGACCAAATTAGGATGATGAATGAGTGTGACAACAACTTATCAGCTAAGTTCTATCACGTGAGGTTGAGTTAAGGGAAAAACAACATCATAAGGCAGTCTACAAACTCTATTACATAAATGTATAAACATACATACAATAGCTAAGTAATAATATTCCGTATAAATAAATAACTATCAGGATATTTAACAATTGTCTGGGCAAGATGTTGATCAAGCAAGACAAATCCTCCACATAAAAAAAACCTATAATTTACACAACGCATGAGTGATGGTAACGACAATGTCACCGTACGGATACAAGTAAAATAATAAATATAACAGGAAATTAACAACTATTACTTATGCACTTAAAAAAATAATAAAAATATACACAAAAAGTAATAATAACAATATTAACTAAAATGGCAAATAACAATAACAATAACTGAGCAATACATGGAAGACATACATTATATGGAAGACATATTTGTGATTTATATATTATATAAGTATATTAACTACATTATACTACACATAATACAATCAAATAGTAACAATTTCAAGGGGATTTGTATAGGCAATTTTGAAAATAATAATTTAGATTCCATTGCAATTGATACTTGACTGTTAATAACAATAAAAATTAATTTATTACACAACAGTTTGTAAATACATTTTTTTCAAAATATAATGTTATATTTTATCAGTTACCACCATTAGATCTATGTTATTTTTTTTTTAAACAAAATAACTGTATCTGTGTTAATGTTAAAAGATTTTTTAAAAGTGTCTTGTATCCCGTCAATGTTTAAAATGGGCATATTTTCAGATTAAAAATGAAAAATCTTCACTTGTTTAAAGTAGAAAAATTATTAAAAAACAAAGTACTTATGTAAGTATTTTGCATGTTTTAAACAAATATAATTTACATAATTTACCTACTATATAGCTTATCAAGGGTTGCCCACAGAAATATAAGCTATGAAGGAAGGGGAGAATTCAAAAGTCTCTGATAATACAGCAGGTCATATCTTCTTTTTTTTTTTTGAGTGATAAAACAATTAATCTAACTAAAATAATGGAGAACATGGCCCCCTGGCACTCCTCTGTGAAGCCCTTTTAGCTTACAAGGACTATCAACATATTAGATTTTAATCATAAGTTATTGGCTCAATTTAATAATTGGTAACTACTATTGACTGTTGTGGCATCTTGAAACATATTATACACATAAAGGTGATAAATTGTATTAAATTCTAATAAGAATAATTTACTAGAAGTACCCACTGTGTATGGTACACATGATTGATACATTAAAAAACAAATCAATGGTGGTTTGTTGTGACTAGACTAGTGGTGAAAATAATAAATTTAACTATATTATGTACCTGCTAGGTATTTTGTTTGTTGTTAAAATTAAAAACCAGCTTCATAGTACCAAATCTGTGTTGTCTCCTGGATATTATGCGTAGGTACATTGACAAACATGCATACTTGGAAATACATAATATTGATTTAACAACATTTAAGTTATTCATAGCATAGCGTCACCAAACAAATAGGAATACATGAACAAAAATCTCATAGCCCGTAACCAGACAACAATGTCTTTGTACGCTCCACAGTCCAGAACATGACAGCCGATGCCGGAACAGTGCGCAGCAAGGTGGGTGCCAGACCGCGATAAAGGGCTAGTGGACCCTCGTTGCGCACAGACAGTGCCATGGCCCTCAAGAAACCGCCACTTGAACTTTCAGCTGTACCGCCGCCACCAGTGGCTTGAATTCGTGATTTGATCGCGTCCACTGGATACACGACCAGCCAGAGGCAAGTACCTGCCGCTGCGCCAGCCGTCATTGTCACCCAAGCAGGGTCCTCCCGGTGTTCTACTGACAGCGCTGTTGAGGTCGCCAAAGAGCTGTGATGCCAATCATTCAGATAGGTGCGGCTCGCCTCGTACGCCAGGAAGAAAACATAGTAGCCAGGCATTTCACGTGCCACCGTCGAGCCTAGTCCTCGGTACATGCCTCGTAGACCACCTTCGGTTGTCCACACTCGGGCCACAACCTGCAGCGTGCCGGCAGCAGCATTCTGTGGGCGTCCTGTAACCGTACCTGAAACGCAGTTGGCCCTGTCCAGATCAGCCGCCTGGAGACGGACCTTTATCAGCTCGGTGGGGCATAACGCGAACGCGGAGCACAGTGACGCCAAGCTGCCGGCCGTAGCCATGCCGGCAGGACCAAGTTTTTTTTCCACGTCCACGACGGCAGTGCCGGCATTGGGCCCGCCAAATAGATCTAACACGAACGCCACCAACCGCTGGCAAGGTCCATACGCCGCGAACAGTACTCCGTTTTCCGCCACATTGGCCAGCAGCGCGGGAGCAGTGCCGGCATACATGAGCCGAGCCATGCGTCCGGCCGCGGCAGCCTTGCTGGCCGGTTGATCGGTGGCCGTCAACGGACACGCCTCGACGACGGCGGCTGCTGCGTTGTTCGTCAGTCGACGAATATGTGGCGCCGGAGTCACCAGGGCCTGACGCCACATGTCTCGCACGCAACCCCACATGGATACGCCGACGGCGCCACCACCGCCGCTAGACGTCACGGCCCGAGTGGCCGTAGACAGTTGCATGCGTACCTTGACGGTGTCGAGTGGTTGTCCCACGTACACGAGAGCCACGGCGCCGGCACACCCGCTGACGAGGCCGACTAATGGTGAAGTCGTCGTCATCGAGTCCACCGGCTTGTGCGGCGCCAGGTATTCGTCAGCAACAGTGGCGACCGTAGTAGCATTACTAGTGACGGTCGCCTCCATATTCAGTCGAGTTTTTCCCCCGGCAGACAGATCTCACCGTTTCCGCGACGGCGCTGGGCAGACGATCTCGGTAGGTCTGGTGATCGTGTCGAAGTAGTCCGCGACCGCCGCAAGCAAACGACCGACGTTTGCACAGGTGGACCAGTAGCCTAACGCCGTTCGTTCGAACTTCGAATAACAGCGTCAACTATCACTTAACACATACGGGATATCCGTGCAGAATAATTGTGATAACCGATAACGTTATCGCTGCACACCCGGTGGTCGCGTGTTCGTGGTTAAACATGCGGCCGTCAACTGTTCGGGCACGCTGCGTAGATTTTATATTGCCGAGAGTATTTGCACGTGATCGAACAGTGAACAAAGTTGTAGGCGCCGCCAGTGATTGGTGTCGTTAACGAGATGACAGTCGGCCGACTATCGTCATTAATGATAATTCAGCCGACTTCAATCGGCTCGTCGATTAGGCTACGACAATCGTTTGTCGTCACCGAACTGATCATACAGATAGCTTAGAACTTTTGAGGCATGCCGTACGTGCCCTCGTCATGTCTTTGATCCCCGATTGTGGGCTGTGGCACTGTGCCCGCAATTCGAATGTCGTTGATAAAATATGCTAGACTTACGACTCGACGGCGGTCGGATAACAGAACCGCGGTCTGATAACGTTGTAGGCGGCTGTGGCGGTTGTAACCAACACCTCGGTAGCTTATGATCGAACAACTAGACGGACGGTTATCAGCTGAACCACAGCTACAGATACTATAGTATCTATAGCCGTGGCTGAAGCCTAGCGCGGTATTGATAGTGATACAATTTAGTGATTAGTGATTACGATTGTCTTAGAAATTAGTTAGCATAATAAATAAAAATTAGCATTGGCAATCACTTAAGTACGTTAGTCGTAACTCGTAGTAAGTAAATAATTAATTTACCCACTCTAATTTCATTTAGTTTTATATTTCGTAACACGTATCTAGTGTCTACGTACCTATTGGTATTACACTTGTGGATGCGGCAATCCGATTGCTGACAGTTGACATAGGTTAAAAATCTATGGCCAACATATCTGATACCACTGTTATTTGCAACATCATGAAATCTCTTTTCTCTCTTGTATGATATGTCCAGAACTGCAACACAACCCACAACAGATGAAACTTCAACAATACCGTCTGTCTTACTAATAAAACTGCTTATTGTGGGCTCCCCAACAGAGTCAATGCAAGTTTACAAACTACCATCATTACCTCTGTAATGTTGTAACTACGATACCATAACACTTGGTGACTTGGTCTGAACAGCTGTTGTGAGGAGACTGCCGGTTAATTCCTGATCGCATGAATAAGTAACTTTTTCATAGCTGATCAATAACAACAACTGAAAAAGGTAACACTAGTTTCGGTTGACACACTATACAGTGATTGATTTGTTTTTATTGTAATCTTTTATTTTTTAGAAGACACTATTCTACATTCAACTTCATTTGTTTTCATCTTTGTTACTATTGCTGCCATAGTGCCACCTGACATCACTATTGCTGTTCACAAACATATACCTAAAGGTTTCTAGTAGTTCTTTCCAATGATATTGGTAATAGAATAAGAAAAATAATATGAACCGTGTTGGTAAGTAACGTACTTAAATTACTTGTGACAAAGTTTTTACTGTTACATAATTACTTTTTAATATTATGTATATTGTATGGTAATAACTGATAAGTAATGATTTATAATTTTTTTTAGTTACTTTTTATAAATTGCTTTTAATTTTATATGTTACTTTACAAATAAATGTGAGCATTACAATTTTATTTACATTGTATTAATAATATAATATGAATTTATCAACCGGTCCAATCTGGTATAAAGAAAAATTCATCTATAACTCGTGATACAATACATCATCAAAGAATTAGTTTATCAGTGTAAATTATTTTTTATTTTTACATGTGTTCTCTGTCAAATAAATCTTAAATAAGCTATTTAATGATCAAATAATATTTATATCATAACCAACTTTTTTTAAACTATATTTTATATTGTGAAAGTAATGTCACTATAACTAGTTGCTTTTGAGTAAATACAATTAATGTTGTAAATTATTTTTGTATTCAAGTAACAAATTAATTATAGTTAATTTTTAAAATCAACTAATCCTTATCCAACACTACATTTCTATATTTAGTTATAAGGTTATAATTTAGTTTTATTATTACCATAATTAAGTGTACTTGAATCACCTATTGTCATTATATATTATATCATTGATACTATTTATAATCAATAATAATATGTACCTGTGTAAGGCATAAGCTTTAAACTGTACAAATTTGTTGTGATTGCATTGTTATTCAATAATAACTAGTAATTTGTATACATTTTAATGAAGTTCTATTGTCATTCACTATGTACTGGATTTTTTTTTATCATAGTTGATCAATTTGTATCTACATTGTGCCTACATATGAACGTATTATACTTGTTCATAGATTCATATTTTGATTTATTTGTCTAAAATACAAAACACATAGTTTCTTTTGAAAACTATTAAAACATTTTTCAATTTAATATATTTCACATTCTGCTTAAAAAATTAAACATACTGATGCCATGCCATTTAAATAATGTTCACTTTCTTATACTTAAAATTTGTATGTTCTTTTGAACATATTTCAACAAATTTAAAAGATGTTCAATACTGTTTTATAATATAACTTAATTTTATATGTGGAATAACAACATAGTATAATATGTCTACTCCTACATGGTTATGATTTATGGTACTTTTATCATAATATTTTGTTTAGAATTTGTATTTTATCAGCGGATGTTTATAAATCATAGTTATTAGTTTATTACATTTTCAACTATATATTTATTTATGATTTACAATTTTACTTTCCTGGTTGTTTTGTAAAATAACTTCAAATAAATCTAATGAAATGTATATTTGAGAACATTTGGCATGTTCGTGGGTTTTAACTAGACTCTGTTCTAATAAATACTTTTTGAAATGATTTATGATTTTAACTTAAATGATTTTTGAAAAATTAAGTTTATAGATGAAATGTTGGATTTTTTTTTTGCTGATATTTACTAAATAAACCAAGCTAAATTTAGTTGTGGTTCTCGAATCAATAATTTATGTATACAAATGTACAAGTTTATTATAAATATAAATTTGGTATTTTGATTTACTATTATTGACTACTTATTGAACACTAGCTGATCCCGCGCATTTTGTTGCCCGTTGAAAATGCCAAATCTATATATGAGACTCGCTTGTTATAATGCAAGCAGTATATTATCAGGTAGGATATCATATAATACTAGCTGCCCGACCTTCCTCCGGAAGAAATTTTTTTTTTTATAATTTAATTTAAAAACATAAGTCTATTTTTTGGCTATACAAATAATACAACGGTTATAAAATAAAAAAAACAGGCATCGTTATCGGTGAATATATGAAAATAATTGGTAATTAGTTAATTATTATTATTATTATAATGAGGGTTCAAAACCGGTTTCCTTTGTCTCCAAAATCAAGTTAGATTCTTATATATATATAGATAATGATAATGATAATCCCAGAAGGCACATTTAAGAGTACTACCATAAATTCAAGTTCAAAAGACCTTAAGTTTTGACAACATTTATGTTAATTTATGTTGTTCAATTTTGATTCTAAAAAAAAAATTTGAATTCAGCAGAAAAATATCTTTGAAAGAAATATAATTTTATTTAATTTTGTACTATGATTGAAACATTTATGACATTTATAGAAAAAAAACAAAACAAAATATATCCAATTTGCTATAAAAACCATCTCCAAAGTTGAATATCACTACATTTTTGCTGCCCCAAAACTACTTGATGAGATATAAAAAAAAAATGGCAAAATCAATAGTAACACTATTTGCTCCACTCGGAATCTAAAATGACAAGTACAACAGTAACTAGTAACGTGTGATCTATAGAATGTATAAATTGTTCAGTGATATTCCAATCTTTTTTCACAGTTAAAATCAGACAACAATAACTACCTAACTTAATTTTTTTTAATGTTTACAAAATTAAAATAATAAGTCGTAAGCTGTTGCAAACTTGGTAAAATGATTTTTATATTTTCGACATTATTAAATAACTAGTTACACTCATGCGAATAATCATTTACGACTAATACTTACATCCTTAGCGGTGACGACAAGATTAGAAATTGCCTAATTTTTGCTCCTTAAATAAAAAACAGCGAGACCTCCCGACACGATGTGTCTCAGTCTTACGGACGTACAACATAGCAAAAACTTTTTTGATTAGATAAAAACTGAGAAGAAATAATTAACAATAATCCATTCGATTATGTGATGTTTAAAACGAGAGCGAATTGACACATGATAAAATTCATAAAATTTTCGACAATTTCGATTTATATCAGATTCTTTTTAATTATTGTCAATAGTTAATACATTTATCACTATGTCAAAAAACTTGAATAATGATACAAGGTTCCTCATAAGTTATTCTTACTACAAAAAAAAGTTTATAATCCACCTTAAATTCACAATAACTATTTATGAGCTTCTGAAGTTCCTATTTTGATAACAATTAGTCAAAATCATGAAAATGTGCACATTTTTCTGAGTTAGAAATTCATAAAATGTCTATTTCTAATTTCTATTTATTTTTTAGATTTGAACATTGAATACAAGATTCATTTTATGTTGCACAGCAATTACTAAATAAAAAGTTTACCGGAAAGTCAAATCAATTTTTTATGAGCATTTGAAGTTTAAATGAATAACAATTTATCATAGAATAATTTTCTTATTTTTTGTGATTTAAAAACGAATAACCGTAGATGCTTCAACATTAGATTAGAAAATATTAGTTTATATTAGTATTTTTTATGCACGAAAAATAAAATTTTAAAACTTTTTTTATAAATATTGATTAAAATGTTTCTATATAAATCTAATATTTGAAAATTTAATGCAAGGTTTCTGTTAATTTTTATAATATGGCACGAAACATTTTAGAGATTTTTTATGAGTTTTTAAAATTTAAACGACATAATTCATTAAAGCCACAAAAACTATTTTGTACCTAGTTAAACATTTATAAAATATTGAAATGTTCAATTTTTCGTGAGTATTTTTACTTGAAACTTTAATTTTATAAAAAATGAACTGTTCTCGGAAAAAATGAATTTTACGTACTATATAAATGAATTACTTTAATAGCAAAAATTAATGTCTAAAATATACTTATTGATATGAGCAGACAGATCGTCTTTGCTCAAAAATCGTGTTTATAGTATACAATGATTTTATGTATATAACATTGAAATTGAATTTAACACTTTCACACATGTTTATCATATTATAATATTTTATTTATCTTCCATATAATATTTTTCATAATTTAATGGTATGTAAGAAAAAAAATCACGTAACTATTGGCACGCAACGTTAGGAAAATTTAGCGTTGTTAAAGTATAAGAATGCGGTAATGGGTTAACAATTTTAGATGCATATATAGAAGTGCGTTTTTTCTCTTACGAAGAATCTGAGAATAGTATAATATAACAATAATATAAGGCGTATTTGTCATACTTGGACACGCCACCCTCTTCACGTAATCCTTCAGGGGAATAGAATAGGATGTCCCGTTTCGTAAAACAGGAAGTGACGAGGTTCGCAAAACCACGTACAAGACGTCCATCTCTTCGCACGTACAGCACTACGAACTGATCGAATAACCAGTTTCCCATCATCGATGAACTGAAAGTATATCGCGGTTACCCTATCAAGAGTGTCAGTTGCGTCATCCCGGCGTTAATGCCAGTCACACATTGACAAACTTCAAGACCGGTGGTTTCTGAGTGGTCCAATACATACAACATACATAGTAGGTACGTTTCTCCAGCCCTATACATTTCAAATACTACAAATCTTTCGATACAAATATTTAGAACGTGATTCACACGGATTTGTACCTTGACCGTTTCCGAGATTTGTTCGGCAACGGTAGGGGTATACCCGGAAAATTCAAATGTCTATATTTTAGATTCTAACTCTAAGTGAAGCAATGATTGTATTCACTATGCATTCATATTGATTTTACGTCGATTTGAAAATTTAGTATAAAACTCCTCATGAGTTCATCAACATTATTATCAAAAAAAAAAAAAAAAAATGCCTGCCGGAAAGTAAAATTAGTTTTATAAAAGTTTGAAGTTCAATTTTTTACATCAATGTATATCTACTCGATTTCTCATTGAACGATTATCTTATTTTGTTGTAATTAAAAAAAAAAATAACCTTAGATATTTGAAATGTACTCAAAATGTTTGTTTTATCATTTCCTATATTTGAAAATATTTTTTTT